GGAGCAGCTGGTAGTTTCGAACCGCTGACCTTAAGGTTCGTAGCCCGATTCGTAACCACTATGCTACCAGAGCTCCTTAAAAATGTAAATAGACGTCACAAAATCAAACAAACCCTATGGAGCAAAAGAATGGTCTGCAACTGACCTTGGGGAGAGTGCAGGACTGGGCAGTGTTCTGTTTCACTGCAAAGCTCACGGGGCACCATGAGTGGGAGCCAACTCCATGGCAGGTGACCCCCACCCTACCCCCTGCAGGCTGACCAGGCTGAGCTCCCTTCTGCCCCACACAGAGATTGCTCATCGCCATTCGTAGAGACACAACTGCTTACTCCCTGGGCCATGGGGACCGTCCCTAGGTCTGGGTGACTGGGTCCACCATGCTGATGTGTGCTGCTGTTTGAAAGGGGGCCTCAGGGCCTAGGAAGGAGAACCCCAGCCTGCCCCCCCCCCACACCAACCCAGGACCAACCTCGGCACATGGCTCCGTCTTCCCGCAGGGCATAGCCAGCCGGGCAGGTGCACACGTAGGAGCCTTCGGTGTTGTGGCAGCGGAAAGCACAGAGCAGGGGGTTCAAGGTGCACTCATCAATGTCTAGAGAAGCCAGTGGAGGTGCTGGCTGGGCAGATCTGTCTGAGGGACCCCCTTTTCTCCCCAGGTACCCTGGCACCCCCAGCACCCAGTACAGATCCTTGCTGGCCAGCCGTACCCTCACAGGTCATCATGGGGCCGGGCTCAAAGCCATCTGTGCAGGCACATTCAAAGCCGCCGCCGACGTTGGTGCAGGTACCTTCCCCACAGGGGTGCCCAATGGAACACTCGTCTGTGTCTGGAGTGGGGGCAGGGGGTGGTCAGTGCCTACAGAGTGTCCCCATCCTCACGACTGTCCTGTCCACCTCCCCACTGATGCTAAAGACAGGATTGGGCCAGTGATGGCCATCTCTAAGCTGGGTGCAGGGCAGGCATGCTGCTACATGTTTAGTGGGTGAGAACCAAGCCAATGAGTGAGTGAGTGAGTGAATGGAAGGAACAAATGAGTGAATGTATGAATGTATGAACAGATGGATTAGAGAAGGGATAAATGAGCAAATGTATGAATGGACAAAGAAGTAAATAAGCAAATGATTGAATGAGTTATGATGAGGGAATGAATGAATGAGTGAACTAATGAGTGTACAGTGAGAGAACAAATGAGTGGATGAATTAGTACAAGTGGAGAAATGACACTGTATGAGTGAATAAATGAATGAAGAACAAGTAAGTGTGTCTGTGAGCAAATGACTGAGTGATTGAGTGAATAAATAAATCAGGAAATAAAGAATTGAAGTTATGAATGAAAAATGAATGGGTGAACTAGAGAAGGAAGGGATAAGTGAGCAAGTAAATGAATGAGTGAGAATAAAATGCAAATATGAATAAATGAGTGAAAGTGTGAATGGAGGAAGGAGGGCAGGAATGAATGAGTGAGTGGAGGAAGACAGGAGGGAATGGGAATGGGTGTGAGGAGGGAGGCTCCTGGAGGAATGGGCGGTGTCCTCACCCACACAGTTGAGGCTGCTCAGGTCCAGGCCATAGCCCCGGGGGCACTCGCAGCGGAAGGAACCGTCTGTGTTGATGCAGATGCCATTAGTGCAAACGCTGGGATTCTCCACACACTCGTTTACGTCTGCAGATGGAACGGGTTGCAGGCAGGGAGGGTGTCTGTTACATACAAAGGGCTGACCTCTTCCTTCCTGGAGAACGAGGGCTGAAGGCCCAGACCCCAGGAGTGGGGTCCGGGACAGTGCTGAGAATCACCCATCTGTCTCAGAGGGTGCCTAGGACTGGGGGACACAGGCAGAGTGGGGAAAAACAAGGTGTGGGTGGTCCAGGGAATCTAAAGGAATGGGTGCGGGACTTACCTTCTCGAGAGTCATCAGGGCTGGGTACTGCCCCATGACCAAAGGGGCACAGCTCCTGGAAGGCGGCTGGACACGGGAAGGAGAGGGTGGTGGTCAGGGGCCAGGTACAGCCCCCGGGGAGGGGAGGGTGATAATCAGGGGCCAGGTACAGCCCCCCCCCAGGGAGGGAGGGTGATAATCAGGGGTCAGGTGCAGTCCCTGGGGAGGGGAGCACCCATGGGACTGGCAGGCTGAACCATGGTTGGCTCTGCTCTGACCGGGACACTCACTACTGTCCTCCTGAGGACACAGTTCACAGGGGTCGCCCCAGCCCTCCCCAGGCTGTGTACTACAGCAGCAGCGGGCCTTGGTGGTGTTGAAAGCTTTGGGTGTTGAGCACTTTCCACCCTGGAAACAAGTGAAGCAAAAACTCCGCCGCGTGTCTGTGGGGTGAGAAAATGAATGAGTGAGGGAATGAATATATGAATGAGCGAGGGAATGGGTGAG